CACCCGGGAAATCAGATGTACCTCAGAAACAGGAAACACCTAAGAAACCAGAAGTATCTAACAAAACGGAGCTACCTGGAATCACAGAAGTGCCAAAGAAACCGGAATTACGCGCAAAAGCACAATTAGCCGTGAAACCGGAATCATCTGGAAAATCAGAAGTACCTAAGAAAGCAGAAGTACCTAAGAAATCGGAAGCACCTGCGAAAATAAAACTACCCTGGAAACTAAAATTATCGGGCAAACCATAAGTAACTTCCTGTATGCCACTTCCGGCAGGCAACTACACTGTTACAGTATGCTTATATATATTTCTTATATTTACCTGTTTATAACACTTCGTACTATGTTTATGACAGGGTTTATTAATGTTTATATTATTTACCATATAGTTGCGCCTTAAATTATACTGATGTTTATATCTGTCCAATGTACATGGTTTGTGTATATATAACGGGGGTTGTTTATGTGATACATAGTTTATTGATATTAAGAAAAGGGGAATGTACCCCTAAAAAGGGTATACATGGTACTACATTTTATATGTATGTATAATATACAAATATCCTATATGTAACAAACATTAGATGATGATTACCATGCATACAACATGTGGCAAATATTTTTATAAAATGTAACAGTCCTCTGTTTTTGTTTTCCTAACACTCCCACAATTGTGGCGCTGCATTAATATCCCCCTTTTTTGGCACTCTATATATGTACACGATAATAACAACATATATTATGTAGAATGTAACGTGGACGCATATAGTGATGCAGGGTCGCCTACAACATCATCTACATGGACAGCCGCCCTGAAGGGGGACAGGGTACACACGTGGTTGCACGTCTGAAAGAATTTGGAGCAATGGTGCACATAGGGGTCCTGGTGCATAAATTCGTAAACTCGTCGCTCATACTCATTCCCGCTGTAGTGCACACTGATGGTCGTCACCGAGCCGGGGCCGTGCTCTGGGCAATGGTGCATTGCGCTCAGCGAAGATGTGCTATGTGCGTGTGCGCTGTGGTTCGCCCGCGTTATGTGCATGCGGCTCCCGTGCGCATGAATACGTCGTACGCCGGTTACCACGCGCGGCGCGCATGTCCTAGTCAACTGCCCTGCGCTGTGCACTGCACGCCTCATGTACTCCTGCACTGTTGTTGCGTGCTGCACGTTGTACCTTACGGTGTTGGTGATCCCACGTATGTTGCGCTACTGCTTGCTGTCATCTGGTCGCCTGTGATTCGGATAATGGTGCGTCCACTACACGTGCGACGTGTATGCAGCATTGTTCTGTTCCTGTTGCCCTGCGCTTGTTGCGCATACCGTTTCATGCCCTACTCGTGCGTTCGTACCCGCGCCTTCCCTGTGCACGCCAGGTTGTGCTAACCTCGTCGTGCTTGACGAACCTTGCACTGCATTGCCGCCGTGTTTCGCACTTTTTCGAGCATCCTCTCCCATCGCACCTCCTTTGTTCCCCTTTGTCGCTTGCTCCTGCGCGCTTCCCGTGCTTGCGCTTGTGTCTGCTCTACATGCCGTCGTTTGTACTTGTGTATGTTGTCGTGCAATGCTGTTCACGCAGTCGCGCGTGCGTTCTGCTGCTTCTCTTCGTGTTTTTCACCACCGCGCCGTGCTATGGCATGCGCTTGTCCATGGCACTTTCTCCGTTGCATGCCGCACTCGCGCGTACCCTTCACGCTTTTTCCATATGCCACTGCATCCACTTGCGCCCTTCTGTGTGCTTTACCTTCGGCTTGTATGCAGGTCGCGCCACTGCACGTGTTCGTTTTTTTTTTTTTTTTTTTT